TAGGGAAATTTTGACTTTGTCAAGATGAACTTTGACGTTGTAAAAATTAACTTTGGTGTTGTAAAATTGAACTTTGATGCGAATTAGGTGTCAGGTTTCTTAATTGGCTGGTCATCTTCTTTGGTCTCCTTTTCTTCATCGATAGCATCATATTCTTTTTTGTCACTATTTACGATGCTAGTTTTTATTACTTCTTTGTTTTCGTTGTTGGTTAAGCGCCGGGTTGGAAGTGAGGTTGTCATTGTTTGTTGTATATTTATTTTTGGTTTATTGATGTGAATTAGGACTGCTTCTGCAATTTTAAGATGCGTGTAGTTGTTGTTCTGGTATATTACTTTGGTGTTGCTGTCGAGGATTTCACGGCTAATTGTGATTGAGAGTGTTATGGCCTTATTTGCAGCATGAATTCGAAAAATAAGTTTATTTTGAATTTTAATAAACTAAACGTTCACCAAAAAACTTTAGTGAGAAAAATCGAAAAAACGAACTACAAACATATTAACGCCAAACATTCGGTAGAATTTATAGAACATTGTACAAATTATGGTCTATTACCAATATATATATATATATATATATATAAATTGCATCAATTATGATAATTAATCAATTAGAACTCCACCACTGGGGCTGCAATCCAGCAGAGTTCGGTGCCGGTCCCAAGTCAGGGTAAAGAAGGAGGGTTGACAGGAGTTTGCTACACTGTTTTAAAAACGCTACAAACACAATGATAAACACAAAAGCAAATAACCATACCGACTCGGTCGTCGCCCGGGACAACAAGAACCGCATTGCAGCTTTGAGGACTAGGAGCTACAATGAAAAGTTTGTTACTGAGTCCTAAAGAGGTAAAATGAAGATGAAATTCACAGTTGGAATTTGGAATGGGAGGTCACTGTGGCAAGCTGGAACATATGCGATGCTGAAAAAAGAGTTTGAAAGGTTTAGATATGATGTGGTTGGTTTGTGTGACGTTAGATGGACAGGAAGTGGAGAATTGGAGTAAGGAAAACTGTTATGGTCAGGCACAGAAACCGTGCATATTTATGGAATAGGAATGATTCTTAAATAGAAAGCAAGAAGAGCATTAATTGAATACAATCTCGTAAATGACAGGTTGATGTATGCCAGATTCAAAGGATATCCAAGAGATATTATTGTGATAGTTGCTTATGCTCTAACAACAAATCATTCGGATGATGAAGTTGAAACGTTCTACAAACAAGTGGAAAAACATTGAAAACATTACCAAAGAAAGATGTTAAGATCATTGTTGGGGACTGGAATGCTAAAATTGGAAGTGACAACATTGGATTTGAAAAAGTTATGAAAAAATATGGCGTAGGAGATAGAAATGATAGAGGGGAAAGGTTACTAGAGTCTTTGAAGGACCGACGATTGTATGTCACAAACACAAAGAGGCAAAACAACAACAAATGTACTTGGGAGTCACCAGACGGAAAAACAATGAACATGATAAATTTAATACTGATAGAACAGAAATGGATGAAATTTGTCACCCAATGTAGAGCTTTCCCAAGTGCAGAAAATGGATCAGATCGTCGCCTTGTCTTATGCAACGTCACCATTAAGATAAAACAAAAAGCTTAAAATGGGAGAAAGCATTAGGAAAGTGAGATACAACACAGAAACGATAAAGCAGAAGATGGAGGATATAAAAAATAAAATCGAACATGAACTGGACTCAGCAGCCAATTACGATATGAAAACAAGAGTTAGCAACCTAGAAAAAAATTCTCAAAGCAGCAGGTGAAAGTTGTAAAATCAAAACGAACAAAATAAGACCGTGAATAAGCGATGAAACATGAAACCTTGTAGAAGAAAGAATACCACTAATACTATTCATAGCATTGCTAGAACGAGCAATGGAAAAAATGGAAAATTCGGAATTAGGTAGAATTGACATAGGAAGGAAAACTGTCAAAAATCTTAGGTTAGCAGACGATATAGACCTTCTAGCTTTTAGTGAAGAAGGTTTACAGAAACTAATTAAAGTAACACATGTTTGTGGAAAAGATCACGGGTTGCATATCAACAAAGACAAAACGAAAGTGATGATTACGGGAAAAAGCAGAAACAATGCGGAATTTCAAATAAAATCAGAAAAACTCGAAGAAGCAGACCGGTTTGTGTATCTTGGTAGTCTTATAAACTGTGACAACAACTGCACCAAAGAAATTGACAGAAGGATAGCAATAGCCCATGGAATATTCGCATCATTGAAGGAAATATGGAAAAGTGGAAATATATCTATAAAAACAAAGTTGAGACTGATAGAATTTTGCGTTTTTCCGAGCTTGCTCTATGCATGTGAGACATGGACAATAAAGAAAAGAGACAGACAAATTGGAAGCATATGAGATGAAGTGTTACCAAAATATGTTGGAAATCAGTTGGAGGCAGAAAGTAAAAAATGAAACCATCAGAAATCAACTTGGAAGACAGAAAAGTGTATATGACAAAGTCAGAGAAAGAAAATTGGAATTTTTTGGACACATTTGTGGAATGAGAGAAGACAGATTGATTAAGATGGTACTAATGAGGAAAAGAGATTAGAAGAAAAAAATTGGTAGACCTGCAAAGAAATGGATAGATGACATTACTGAATGGACCGGTGTTGGTATTCTGAATTCAGTAAAACTGGCCAAAGATAGAAACGGTTTTTGGAAAGAAAAAAGGAAAACATAAAAGTAAAAAGCATGCTTTGATGTACACCATCGGCCTCGACGGTCCCTCGATGGACAAAGGAGGATCATTGATTGATTGATTGATTGCATCAATTATGGTCTCCTTCCAGCCATATTTATTTTATTTATTGCTGTCGGTGACTTTGTCAATTTTACTATCTTCTTTATTTGTTGATAGGTTTCTTTGTTCCGGCGGATTACCTTGGTGTTATGTTTTATTGCTTCGGTATCATTTACTTGCTCTTTGGTCGATGTTGCTTTCTTCAGTGTCTTCATCGGTACCATTGGTGTTGTTAGTATATTTTATTATTGTTTTTCTTGTCGAGAGTATGGTGAAATCTTTTGTTGTCTATCAGGGGTTGTTGATGCGAATGGCTTCGGCTAATTTCAGATGGAAATGGCTGGAATTAGAGTATGTTGTTTTGGTGTTTTTGTCCAGGACAGCACCAACTACAAAACGGACGAATCCGTCTTAAAACATTTATAAAAAGTCGAACCGGCTAACCTTTCCAATAAAATAAAACTACAAATTTATTATAGGAATGCAAAGACATCAAACCTTGTCATGAACTACAACTGCACTCCTCAGCATGGTTCGGCTTTAAAACGTAGCCATATGATATATGAATTTACATTCCTTGACGGCTCTGCACGTCAGAATGTTTCATATATAGGAGTAACTGACCATGCACAAAAGGGAAAATTTTATAAAAACACATTTAGAACACACACATAATATTGAAAATACAAGAAAAATCATCATTTAATGCTTCTGGTTGTTGATGTTGGTGGTCTTTGGTTAATGGTAGACGGTTATAAACAAATTTTCTCGAAAACTATTTTACGTTGCCGAGTAAAAACGTGTCGTTTTCACTTGTAATTCTAACGGTTTATATTATAATTAGTTCCAAATAATAGAAATTTGTATTTAAAACTTTTTGTCAAGCGCACGTATATTAATTAAACGTAATCCGTTAGATGTACCTATCTCCGAATTTGCCAGCAAGCTAGTTTCAATTTATGAAAAGGATTCCTGTAATAATGGCTCCTTTACCTGCTGAATTGTTGGAAATTGTGAAAACCAAGGTCATAGAAAAATCTAGCGAAAACATGTTGAAACTCATTGACAGGCTCTTTGAAAAATCCAAAAGTTATCTCCCTTTCTAACAACAACCTTGAAAATTTGTTTGTGAAATTTGACTCAAATAAGAAACAAGTAGTTGAGAAGTCAAGCGACAATCTCCGTAGGTCACTAGATCGTTCTGAGAGGTTGATGAGCAAGTTATTCGAAACAAACACTCATTAGAATGGAAGCCCTCAGCAACAGTTTTGAGCGTGCAGTTTAAAGAATATCTGAAACCGTGACTAACTCAATGTGTCAGATTCATGCCACCTTGTCAACGTTGGGTACTAGCATATCAGAATGCCAGAAGCAAGTTTTTAAGCAGAATGAAACACTATTGATCGTGTCAGTGATAAGAGCCTTGTGGGCGGTGGACCAGGAGCGAAAAGATGAAAAAAGACGAGCCAGTAATGTGATTATATCTGGCTTTGAACAACAACCTAGAATCAATCAATCAATCAATCAATCAATTAGCTTATAAAGCGCTATTTCCGCGATGTTCAACAGCGCTCCTCAATGAATTTTGAAAATAGATGGGTCTTGAGATCCGCTCTGAACTTCGCAAGTGATGGAGAAGTAGTCAGAGAAGTAGGTAGAGATATTGTCACTTCGCTTTGTGAAAATTGTCACTTCGCTTTGTAAAAATTATCTGTCGATTAAGCCGCAGATTATCAAAACCCGCCGAATCAGTAGTGAAAAAATTTGTGTTACTCTTTCAGGTCTTGAAACAGTTGACGATTTAGTATCCTCATCTAGACATCTAGACATTTTATTGTAAAAAATACCTATAAAATATTCCGTTCAGCGCCTGAGACCAAGAAAGTTTTCATCAATCATGATCTTTCCAAAAGACAGGCTGAACAAGCCTTTCTCAAGCGACAGGAGCGACGCCTCATCAAATCCACCGTTGAAAAATCTTCTAAATTGAATAATGACCAGCCTTTTCGTCTCAACAAATAAACCCACACCTCTTCGAATGGCCTTGGCCAATGTTAGAAGCCTACAGAATAAACAGAGTGACTTCGCTGTTTTGTTTTTATCAGAATATAATCCTAAAATTTTTTCTTTCCTATGTCTGCGCTTAGGTGATGTGGGTTTGACTCGGGAGATGTATGGGCTAACATTCTGACTAACTTATCGTTATACTACTTGAATTGTCATTTCTATATGACTGTTAAAGTGTGTGGAATGGTTTGTTCGTTCGTGTTTGTGTGCATGGATTATGCTTAATTGCTGTTGAATGAGAGGTTTGATCAATTGATTGTTGATTGTTTGATCGACCGTCATGTTGACAATTCAACTTTATTATTGTTTTCTTTTATGCTTTTTAATTTCGTGATTACGATATGACACTTATTTAGTATTGAACTTTTTTTCATTTTCTGCTATTTTGTTTATTTGTAATTGTCTGTTCTTTTTTTCTGGCCAGGCAAGTTGCCTGTGTGGTTCTCTGGTCAGTTGCGTAATAAATAAATAAATATTGCTGTTGGACAGATGTCAAACCTTGTTCCATGTATGAAGCAGAATATTTTTTATTAACAATTGTCTAGTTTCGTATATGTATTGTAATAAATGAAAAATTTTATTTTATAGTTAGAATCAACAGGCTAATGTTTTTCATCTTCTTTGTAAGCTGAACTCATATCTTAATTTTATGTTTTTTGAACAACTGACTTCGTATCTCACTGGCTTTTTTTGAGAATAAAAAATTGCAAATTGCAAACAATTTGCAAAAGCATATTGTTTTAACAATGAAGCTTGTTATATGTGAAACACTTCTCACATCGGAGAAGAAAGCTGTTAAAATCCTAATACATTTTTCTTGAAGTATTACATCACGGTTCTTCTGAATGTTTGACTTTGTAGATTTGAACGTCATCACTCAACTTTGAAGTTTCGTGGCTACTAAATGACCTCGTATTCTTACACCGATTTCCCAGACTGCTCATTTATCTTGTTTTTTTTTGACTTTTTCAACCAATATTTTGTATAGCTTTTTTTCTACTTTGGTCATATAGTTGGAAATTGGCAATCTTTTTTTATTACCAGTTTATAGATTTGAAAACCACTGCACCATTCGGTTTTTATTCCACGAATCCGATTCTAAATTTTACAAGTAATGGCCGACAGGTGAAACGTCGTTTGCTTGCCGTACTTCGTGAAATATATTTCATTGACGCCAACTCGGCATTGTATTATTGACTTTTCTAGAGTGTCTGCCTACTTCCTTTAGAGTTCTTGCCAAATTTTTTGTATAAAATATGCATCGGAAAAGGTCTAACACCGACAAGTACGTTTTAAAAAAAATAAATAAATTTTAAATCTCAAAAACCAAATGAAAATAGCAAACTTAAAAAAAATTGAATTCGATCAACACAAACTGTTTAATTACTTAATTACAATTAAAACCTTGCTTCTGCTTAGCCTGAAAATTCTTTTATATTTTCGGGTGCAAAGAAAGACTGTTTAATCATTTTTTTTGTTCATCTACCTCTGATTTACATTTATGAAGTCGGTATATAATTATATTATTCATCGTAGATGCTTTTGCTTTCTCTTTGTCAACAGCATTTTTTAATAAAGTTGAGTTATACGTTTATTTTACTGATTTTTTGTTTATGTTTATTTCTTGACCGAAAAAAATTCTTAGTTTTTTAGACACTATTTCAAATCATTGAACATGTGAATCTGTGATTCTAGTTTCAAAAATATATCTACCAGTTTTAATCTGCTCTACTAAGTTTTTCAATCTCTTCGTTTGATTCACAGGTTATAAATTTCATCAATTCGCAATTTTTGAAAATTCAAAACATTCTACATGAATCAAGCCTTTTAAAATCATTTAGTGTAATGCCCTCCATTTTTGTAGTTTAAGACACAAGTCAAATAAGATGAATAGAAAATTTGATTCTCTACGCAACATCATTTCTGATGCTTTCGTCACGAGTTGGTGTCAATGAAATATATTTAACGAAGTACGGCAAGCAAACGACGTTTAACGTGAGAAGCTTAAAAAACTGACGGCTTTTTGTAGAATGCCAACTTCATTTAGAGATCTTACCAAGTTTTTTGTATAAAATATGCATCGGAAAACGTCTAACACTGACAAGAACGTTTTAAAGAAAAAAATTTTAAATCTAAAAAACCAATTGAAAATAGCAAACTTAAAAAAATTTGAATTCGATTAACGCCAGCTGTTTAATTACTCAGTTACAATTAAAACCTGTGATTATTTTCAATAACTTTAAGTAATTTTATGATAAAATTGTATAAATCATTTTTATTTATAAAACCTTCGCCTCTAAAGCGCTTTTAGCAATAGTGTTTCTTTCGACCCGTATAGTTTCCAGCTTAGCGTTCAATTCTTTGATTTGAGATTTCATATCATGATTGCGTCTTTCAACGTCAGCCATGGTTAGGTTATAATTCAACGTCTGTTCACGAGCCTTTTTGGTCTATCAAATGATAGAAATGAAGATTAATTTTCCTTTTTATTACGCATAGTATGAAAAAACAATTGAGCATCTATTAACATAATCTAATGTAACCGTGAAATAAAAATAGTTAAATAAGAATGTAATTAGCCTGTGGACTAAAAATTTTTAGAAAAAATTTTGACATTTCCAAGGAAACAATAGCTATTAAGAATTTAAAAATTGGTTGATACCGATTTAATTGAAATTTTCTAAAACTGAAATGAATGTATTGTATTGACTATTAACATGAATTTGTCAACTAGAGCGTGCATTGCATACATGATTGCATCACGACAGTTCTGCTATATAAAGATAACGTTTTGTTTTTACCAACTAGCACATTTGTAACTGAAGATACACAGGCAAGTCAATTTTAAAAACAAAGAAGGATAAGTTATATTCGATTGGTTTCAAAATTTGTTTTGAAAATCCTTGCTTAATAAATGTCTCTATTTAAAGAGAACAAAGCGTTCAATTGCAGAAATGATCTCTCTTCGCCAGCTCTAGAACTACAACAAAAATCGTTAAACGTGCATTGCCTTCATCAATCTAAAATAGGCCATCAACTTCGTCAGTGACAAAAGGACCACTTTTCAAGACAATTAAGGAAGTTAAATTCTCTAAGCGGTTGCTGAATTTTATTATATTATTTAACGCACGAGAATATCTCTTTCACTTGCGTCTTTACAATTAACAACGGCAACAAACAGGGTTGTGTCCTTTCGTACACTTTTGTTTTCAATGCTTATCAATTATGTATTCAACTGTAGGAGAAAAGTGTTAAAGAGAATTTTTAAAAATGTTGTTCGCTGTCAATGACGCCTTAGCATTGCAAAAAAAAGCATCAGTTTCCGCTAGTAAAATCGTTCAGAATTGCCTTCATCAAGAAAAATTATAAAAAAACCAATTTGATCATAAATTTTCGACTGCGGCTTCAGACTTGCAAAAGATTCTTTAACTAATACTTTACAATTATAGATTGTTATGATAAAATAAAAAAGACTTAAAAACATTTCAAATTTGTTGACGAAATTCTTATAGTTTCATAATTATTTTGCATTTATTTTAAATCTTAGTTCTGAAAAATGCTGAGAAATAAATTATAAATTTTTGCATTACTGTGCAACGCTTGTTGTTTGTGGCTGTATGAGAAAGTTGTTTTGTTTCATCCGCTGCATGCTAGGATGCAAATTTCGTTGTAGAAATATTGCACTAGAGTAAGGAACATTTCCTTATTTTCAGGTGAAGTGGTTAAATTAAATATAACATCTTTATAACTTCATTTCAGTCCAGTCAGTATTGTGATTATTATAGTTAATTAAAAAATTAAAAAATGGAAACTGTTAAATAAAAATACTAGTTTTGGTGGAAGATGCTAAATTATGATGAAAAAATGAAACATCGAAACAATTAAGGGTACGAAACGTTACCACGATATGCACTGGATTGAAATAAAATTATAAAGATGTTATGTTTCATTTAACCACTTTCATCTGAAAACAAGAAATTGCATAAAAAAACAACCATTCCTTGCATATATATTAATTAATTAATATATTAATTAATATATTAATAATCAATATATGCATACATATTAATTAATTAATAATAATAATTAATATATATGCTAAGATAGCTTGCTCATTTGATATGTAGAGTTATTTTTAAGTACTATATACAAAAATTATGTAAGCAATATTTATTATTCATTTAATATAGAGGTAAAACAAAATGCATGCAAAACAACTTTGAAATATGTTCCGCTTTTTTCAAAATTGAAATTTTAAACAAAAATTTTATGAATAAATTATGGAATCATCAGCTTCGAAGCATATCATTTTTAAATTATTAACATAACAACTAAATGACATTCGAAAAATATTTACGACATCAGTTTATGAAACTTTTATAAGTGAGTACCTTCTTCACTGAGGTTAACAACAACAACAACAACACACGTTTAGACAACATTTTCCCCGAGATCGGGGGTTGCCGTTTGGTTACCTATGATGAAACCGAATGTCATCATAAATATTTTATTGGCTAATTTTTACGCAGGACGCCCTTCCTTACGCAACCACAGTTATAAGCGGCGGGCCTAGCCTTTGATGATCCAACATCACTCACAAGGCAGTGAGGGTCAGTTTAATGTCATAACCTTCTTCACTGAGGTTACAAAAATAATTTGATTTATTCTTTATAATGCAGCTCCGTCAAACGCAGAACTGTTTACTTTTTATTACTTATAATTAAATCTTCGTGCCACAAAGCCTCCACTCTCTACAGGACACCACGGAACACGACGCACATAACTTTATGTATGCACGTGCAAGCAGGCACCCCATCATAAGTGTGTGATGGTCGTTGAGTTTCAGACAAACGGTATTCGAACCAGACCATCGCGTAATAGCAGCGAGAGAAAAGGCACATTATTGGCTGAGCTAAGTCAAATATTTTACCTATATGTATTTTGCCAATGTATTTTAAATTTTCATAAAACTTATATCCAACTTATTTTTTATTTAGTTAATATTTCTGTAAGTCTTCATATAGTAAAGAATTGGATAATAACCTTCAAAAAACCTCCAAACAGTGCTTTTTCTTTTTGTAATCAATTATAAAAAAAAATAAATTTGAAAATCACCATAAAAAGCGCATTACATTCAGAAAACACATCGCGGTAGTTTATTATACCAACCGCCATATCCAGTTTTTCTTGACATTTCAACTTTTCAATGTTGACTCTTTGAAGCATCCTTATTTGATTTCGCAGTTTTCTGTTTTCTATTTGCAAAAACTTCATATCGATTTCCAAAGCTTCTAGTTTTACCTGAAAAATGAAAATAATATTAAAACGGGATAAAAAAAAACAAATTGTAACTTTGTGGGGTTGATATAGTTTGTGGCATTCATTATGGAATTTGTTATTCTGCCAGGGCCTCAATTCTCAGCTGTTCATTAAGCTCATTCATTCTACCAGATTGTACTTGTTATGCTTAAAAATGCAAATATCCATAGACATTTCACAGACATTGAGCTCTTTTAATAAAAAATTAAGAAGCCATCGCATTAAAGAAATGGCATTTATAAAATTTCTGAACAAAAATTACTAATGGCCGCGGAAGCAAAATTTTTTTATTAATTTTACCATTGGAGATTTATGCTAAAACTGCTATAAAATTATTTTGTTGATAAGCAATTTTTAATGTTTACCACCATCATGTTTCATCCCATTCAGCTCTTTGTAAACCAACCGCATTGGATCAATATCGTCAACAAACCTGATATTCTTTACAGTTCTGTCTCCAATATTAATTCTAACCACCTATGTTATTTCCATTTTCATTTTTTGGAAATTTTTGTTGTTGTTGAAATTGTGTTGAAAAGCAGAGGTGATAATGAATCATCTTGTCGATTCAATTTCATTTTTTCAACCAATTCAAGTTTTGAAGCAATTCTTGTTGTTTTTCTTTTAATTTTCAAGGTTGTAAAAAAGAAGGATATAAGGTTATAAAAAGGAAAGATATAAGATTTTAAGAGGAAGGATATAAGATTGTAAGAAGGAAGGTTATAAGGTTGTAAGAAGAAAGGTTATAAGGTTGTAAGAGGAAGGATATAAGGTTGTAAGGGGAAAGATATAAGGTTGTAAGAAAGGATATAAGGTTGTAAGAATGAAGAAGATAAGGTTGTAAGAAGGAAGGATATAAGGTTGTAAATGAAAGGTTATAAGGTTGTAAGAAGAAAGGTTATAAGGTTGTAAGAAGGAAAGTTATGATAATAATAACGATAATAATAATATAATTAATAATAACAATATACGCAGCAACAACAATAATAATAATGTAATAATAATCGTAACTCTACTGTTGAATAATTTATGTTTTATCTGCGATTGTTTATAAATTAATAAACCTTGCAAAAGACTTCATCATCTCTGCCACCAACTTTCATCTTTCCTTTGGCATCAAGATTCAACTGAGATCTCTGTTAAAAGACAAAACAAGCTTTTCAAATTTAGGGTAAAAAAGCCCACGAATCGATCGCCAAAAATGATTCATTAAAAAATTTAACTACTTTTAAAAACATAAACTCTAACGAAACTATTTTAAAATTTTGTCAACAAAAATTTTGTCTCCACAATGTATTATATATGGTGAACAAAAGCAAATAAATAATTTCTGCTTCTTACTATTGTTGAACCGCACATCTCTAATCTAAGCATGTGACGACTTACTATATACAGCTTCAACACAAAGACAACAGCCCTTCTTCTTGCGACATTTTACGATCGAACTTCTCTTTGTCTAATTGCATTGCCAAACACGTTTTCATTTATTTTGTATTACGTAAATAAATACGTTATAAACATTCTTACTTGTTGTTTCTTATATCTAAAGAAACTTGCAACACTATCTTGACAGAAACGACCATTTGGCCAGTGAAAACTGTTTAAAATATAAAAATAACACTCGATTTCAAAAAGCCTATTTCGAGTTTTCACAAATCATCTTCAATGCAGCTTTTGTTTATATAGCTTTTTAAACAAAAAAGTGTAGTTGAATTAATTAATGTCATTTTCTTAATCTTCTTTATGAGAAAAATGACTTCGCGGGTAGGTTTTCTATATCTGCGGTTTTTATGTAAAACTATCGGCTATTTTAATTCAATTATTATTGCATACGTGATTAATTTATGCACTGCATTCTTTGTTACAATAAAACAAAAAGTTTAAATAATAACACTAAAAAATATTTAAATGATATTTGAAAAATACAAAATATGCCTTGTTCATCAGATCTCGTGATCTTATAAATTCGTTTAGCTCCCTCTTCATATTTTCTGTTTCATCTCTGCAATCAGCTAATTCTAATAAATAAATTTAAAGTTTTCAATGTAAAGATTAATTTGAAAATGAATACTGCTTTTAAAAACCATGCTCAACTGTAAAGTCGGGTAAAGGGTAATGATGCTTCTGCGTGTATACGCTAGATTTGTGTATTTGTCCAGGGCGTTATATAAATTCTTAATTAAACTTCCCTTGCCAACACCTGATTGAATGCAAGCGTGAGATCTTAAGTTTAATTGCAACCTCTGATAGTCACACTTCATGGATGTGTATGATTATTTTAACATATAATATAATGATGATCTGACTAAATGCTGTCATTTTATTTATCATATAACAACATGATGTTAATTTGTGAAACTCCTCCAAATATTATCGCACTCAGTCTTAAATAGGAAATTAGGGTAAATCAGCTTGGTCAACTTATGAACGACTCTTACTATGATCGTCTTTAGTTAAACAAAAAAATTTCTAAAAAAACTTAATATTTTTGTTTGCAATTCAAGAAAATATATAATTTAATTTAAAAATATTGTAACATGAAATATAACAGTTTGCACACTTATCAAATTGTCTGACAAAGCTGCTAATAACCGTGCGCTACACATAACACGCCACATGCTTAAATAGTGAGTTTGTTTAAAATATTTCCTTACAAAAGCAAATTGTTCTTCCAATTCAATAACAATCGAAGTGGGTTAATGTAAAACTCAGATAAACTAATAAAAATACTAACAAACGAAATTAGTTGTAAGAAAAACTACAACTTCAAAAAATATAAAACTATGATAATTTATAACATTTTTAATTTTTTTAAATAATAACAAAAAAAAAAGAAATGAATCTCATTAATATTATATAATCTTGTTGTTCGTGTCAACTAAACAAAAAATATTCAACATTTCTTCCAAAAATTTTAGTGTTACAAACAAACCTTTCTCTGCAGAACTCAAATCAACCTTTTGAATATCAAACTGTTTAACGAGAACGTTTTTTTGTTCTTCAAGAGTTTTCACTTTTTGAGTAAGTTTGGTGTTCGTCCACTTCATCTTTGTGATATCTATCCTCAAATTATTGCCCTCCTCCTCCTTGATCTTTGAAATATATTAACATGACAAACATTAACTAAAATATTCGTTCTAAATTCCACATGAAATTAAGATAAAACTGCACTACAAACACCCAACCAAATAAACTAAAAAACGAATCAGAATGTGAAAAGTCAAATGTGAGAAAAAGATGTTGACAAAAAAGGATAACTGAAAAAAATTGTCAATACTTAGCTCAAATTTAATGGTAACTAAGTGAGGAAAAACATGTAAGCATCTCTGCTCTTGTCTGAACTACATCAAGCGTAATGCTCATGAACTTTAACGTTCCTTTCGGTCCAAACCCTCTCCACATTGCTATAATTTGTATATGTCAGCTTTAAATTTCTATAAATCTCTACTATTTTCAAAACACTGTCACTACTTACGTACGTCTATTGTCTTTGCTGCTTCTAAACATCGCTGGACTGCGCTTAACAAACTTCTACACAAAAACCTTCCACCACCTTCACCTTTCTCTGCTCAATACATTCACGATTTTTTAAATAAAAAAAATAAACTCTGTCAGAATTAACTTCAACTATAGCTGCTCTACTGAATTTAAAGATTTTCCTGAATCTAAAAAAACCTTTTTTTCTTGATTGCTTTTCATTTTTTACTCCATTTTCTGAACTTTCATCTATTATTAATGATGTCTTCTTCTTCTTCTTCTTTTGATATCATAAATATTAAAATTCTGAATGAAACAGCGCATATGCTGTACCCTTTTATTCTTAAAATTGTTTATTTGTCTCTTATCACTTACAAGCTTTCTTCTTCTTTCACAAATTCCATTATTATTCCTACTTTGAAAATAACTCTTCAGATACCTCCATGTTATCGAGTTATAACCCATACCTAACTTAACCTTTACACTTAACGTTCTGGCGAATGACTCGCGTCTCAATTATCTAGACGGATATATCTCCAACAGTGCAACTATTGATGACGTTATTACAGCAAAAGCAGGTGCTGCTTTTGATATGGTGAGCGGACGTCTTTGGAAAAAGCACGGAGTTACCCTGGCCACCAAAATTGCGGTATACAGAGCAGTTGTGCTCACTTCACTGCTATATGGCTACAAAAACCTAAGCGGCAATAGTACAAGTGTAAGGATCTGTGAAACATGTGCACGGAGTGTTCGTCTTTTTGCTCATACCAGGATTCATCGCTGACCCAATTCGTCGATTCGACGATGCACTCCATATGTGTGTGTGTGTGTGTGCGTGTGTGTGTGTGTGCGTGTGTGTGTGTGTGTGTATGTATGTATGTATGTATGTATGTATGTATGTATGTATGTATGTATGTATGTATGTATGTATGTATGTATTAGTATTAATATACGCTTTTTAAATTGTTATCTCAAAAGCGCTCATTATCAATGATTAAAACAATTGATGTCAGGAAAACGTAGAGATAAGTCTTTTTGAAATTTTTGACAGAGAGACCAGGCTGTCGCAAATAGCCCGGTAGACTATTTCATACTTCTGGGTCAGCAATCGAAAAATTTCTTGAACCAATCTTTAAACGTGATGCTGGATAGCCCAAAAAGTTTTTATCGTTACGACGTAGGTTGTATGGTTTTAGCAAACGTCGCTTTACGTGTGCAGCTAAATACTTTGGAGCCAGTCCATTTATGACCTTAAACATCAGAGCGAAATATTGAACGTAACTCTTTTATAAACTGTAGTGGAATTACATGATCAACTTTAATAACTTTTCTAATATTTTAATTAGTGTAATCGATTTAATTAGGAATTCATCTTTTTCGTTATGCTTTCTGTAAATCACTGTTTTTTTTGTTAAAAATAAATTGGTGTTATAAAAAACCAATAAAAACCTTCAGCTCATTGGTTTTGAACTGTAAATCACTGGCTAGCCGAGTATAATTAGCCTCCTGTAAAGCTAATTCATTCTGTAGCTTTCTATACGACTCTTGCTGGGAGGAGTTATCTTTCACAAACTTATCAAACAGAAGCTTTAAAAATTCAAATTATACAAATTTTACTTTAATGATTTTAAAATACATCCATTATTTTATCAATTAAAAATTAAATTAGACTATTTGAAACTAATCAACAACTGAATTAAAAGCAAAAATTGAAAACAATTCACAGGTTTTTGGCATCATTTCAGCAGGCTTAAAAATAATAAAGCATCAATTGATTGTTTGTTTTTCTGTTTGTTTTTCTGTTTGTTTGTTTCTTTCTTTGTTAGATAATGACTGTGGAGATGATGAAACCCTTTTAATAAATGATTTGGAAAAGGCAAATTGTTTAGGCAAGTTTTTTAATTCGGTTTATGTAGCTGATAGCACTGATGATGATGATGAAACCCTGACAGAAGAATTTTCCTTATTTGGATAAAAACCAACCAGTCAAAACAAATAATAAAAATTTTTGATTTACATAAATTTGCCAGACCTGACAATATTTATTCAAGGGTGTTCATAAAATGCAATGAATCGATAGACATTTTTTATTTATTAAAATTAACTAATGAAAAAAATAGTTGCCACTAAATTTTCCTAATTTATCTGACATTAACAACATCATTCAGCAAAATATGATGAGCAAAATTGATAAATTAGAGAGTAAACTTAATGACCTTGACGTAAAAAGTCGATCGTCTATTGAATATCGTTAACGAATTCTTCTTTTCAATTTGTCAACTATGCCCTATGATGAAGTTTTATCGACCCCAAATAAAGTCGATTTATTGACGAATTCAGTTGACATTCTTTCATTTAAAATTGATAATAATAAATATTTTCGTCAGCAACCGGTGAGTCAAAGCTGTAACAAATTTTATGGCGAGAATTATGATGTGATCAAGGATGATGTTCGTGATATTAATTCCAATAGCATTAAAAACCCGTCTGTTCATAACTCTGATTTCTATAGTGATTATAGACTTCATTTTCCATGTCTAAACAGCAATAATAATAATAAATCTCAGCTTCAGCGTTTTCGTCAATCTGAACCTGGCGTCTTAAATAATAATGAGACGACTCCAGACACTGATGGCTACAAACTTGTTACAAGTCGATCCGAAAAATTAAAAGTGGCTACTCGAAATCAACAAGCTTTGCGTAAAACCAATAAGGGTAGAGGTGCTAGTCATAATGGGCTGATACAATGTAACAAGTCAACAGTTAAAAAACAGTTTTTCATATTGGCAACATCAAAGAACGCATGTCGAAAAATGTAGATCACCTGAAGTTACACAACATCAACGTGCTAGGATGCTATCCTTTATTCAAGAATTCTGTTGATAATCCGTGCCAAAACCATTGACTGAAGAAGCTATGTCTACGTCGTTCAAGGTTATAATTAATGTCAATGATATAGACAAGTTCAGCAATCCAGATATCTGGCCTGATGGAGTTTTAATTAGTAAGTGGGTGTTTAATGATTTCTCTAAACCCAAAATTCCACATCTTTCAACTACTAACAATAAGAATGTAATTAACAACGGTGATATTGCTAATGTAAAAGAATTCATGGCAATAGTAGCGATGACGTTATTGGCAGTGGTAAAATTGTTGGCTGTTATGACAAAGTGGTCGATGCTGTTGATGGCGGAGGTATCTGCAATGACGAGCACCATACACTGAATACCCATAATGAATCTATCTCCATCAGCAATGGAGGGCAATACATTTTTTGGGAGCCAATTTGATGGCTTCATTTACTTCTTTTTTCACAATTCATTATCTTAATATTATTCAATTACTGATGTACCATGTGAGTTTAAATTTAATCCGAATAATTTTTTAAGTATTTTGCACATAAATTCGCGTAGTCTCTTGCCAAAGTTAAATGACATTAGTTGTGTTATATCAAATATAAATAATCTGAACGTAATTTCTACAACGGAAACGTGGTTAAACGACGATTTTGCGAGTTTAGTAGAATTAGAAGGATTCAATTTTGAATATAGTAATAGAATTTCTAAAACAGGTGGAGGTACCGGTATATTTCTGCAGAAAGATATTAATATATTGTTCGTAACGATTTATGCAGTAAGAATGGGATTTTTGAATGGTTGGCAATTGAGATTAATTGTGTTGCTAACAAAAACGAAAGTGTCATAATTTACTCCATATATCGCCTTTAAATACTAATATAAATTTTTTCATTAATGAATTAAATTGTACGCTATGTAAAATTTGTTCTCGCAAAAACAGAATTCAATTAACAGAATTTACTTAGTAGGGGATTTTAACATCGATCTTTTAAATCAATCAATCAATCTTCGTTTTGCGTCCAGAGACCCGGTTCCCCCGAGGTAGGACGTTGTTTTCTTTGCCATCAACTTTTTGCGCCAAATTAGACGATCAGTTGTATCCATTTCATTTAAATTTAAAGCTTTCATGTCTTGCTCGATTGTTTGCGACCAGGACTTCTTTGGATGGCCTTTGGGACGTGTGCCAGGTACTTCAACATCTGCAAGAGAAGTTATGGCACTGTTTCCACTTCGTTTGACATGACCAAACCACCTCAGAAGGTGTTGACGGCATTCGTCCTTTATATCATCTAAACCAGCACGACGCAGGATTTCGGTAGATTTGATGTGGTCCTTCAGACTAATTTGTTGCATCCATCGGAGCATTTTCGTATCGGTTCGTTGAAGTTGTTGTTCCAGTTTGGTTGTCATTGGCCATGTTTCTGCACCATATAACAACACTGGACGTATCACAGATTTATAAAGTCTTGATCGTAGTGGTAGTGGGATGTCACGCCGCATCAATATAGAGGCAAGGGATGCCATTTATTCCAGGCTGCACGTATGCGTGCTCGAACGGCAGCTTCAGCTGTTCCAGTACAATCCAGAACATCCCCTAGATATTGAAATGATGTGACTTTCTCTACTTTAATTGCTTTAAAAACATTAAACATTCATTACCAATTAAAATATTGAAACTTTTTAGTAAATATGACAGTGTCAAAAATTTAAGGAAAAATTATATCATTTATAAACCATTTTCTAGGTTAAATATTTCTAAATCTTCTATTTTTTCTGAGGGGGTATTATTCTGGAATAGTCTGCCTTCAGATTATATGTTAATTAACAATATCAAACTTTTTATGAAGATTATTATCAGCTGATTAAACGTTATTCAAGAAACATTTATTATGTTAATTTTAGCTACTTACATTTGACAAATATTGACACTTGATTTTATATTACTATTATTTAGACAAATGTTTTGGTCATTCAATGTTCTATATGTTATAATTTGGTGGCCTATGAAGTTTAAACTTGCTTGGTCTCCGAACCAAAGTAACTTGTTTGTTTCTTGGTAAATAAATACTTTTTTGATTGATTGATTGATGATTGGACTGTGTCTATCAACAATGGTGATGAGGTTAACGTCATTTATACAAACATTGAGAAGGCGTTCGATAGAGTACAACATAAAATCTTATTGATGAATGGCTCTTCTACTGGGCGACCAATAGAAGGATTTATTAAATTTACATGCTCAAAATAGACACCTAATTAAACCATATCTGCTATTTACATATAGAATTAAAAGTATTGTGGTTAGATGGATTAACGACTATTTAAGCAAAAGAACGTTTTCAGTAAGAATTGGTGGTTGCTTGTCAGACAGCTTTGATGTCACTAGTGGTGTCCCTCAAGAAAGAGTGTTGGGCCGTATACTATTTATCGTTTATGTCAATGATAAGTTCGATGTGTGTCCTGGAATGGATGGTGTTCAATTATATCTGTACGCTGATGATGCTAAATCGTTCAGAAACGCAAAATGTGTTGAAGATTGCCAAGTTTTGCAAAGAAGTTTGGACTTGTATGAATGGCATGTCAAGTGGAAATTGAGTTTAAATGTGAGTGAATGTGTTAATTTAAATCCTTGGAGTGATTGTGTGAGTCATTCTAATTTTAAATTAAATGGTCCTAATTTATTGTTTTGCCATGAAGTCAACGACCTCGGAGTATTATTTGATGAAAATTTAACTTTTACATGTTATATCTATTCAGCTATTAATAAATCATTTAATAATTTTGGTATGATTTCTAGAAATTTCCATAATATAACTAAATTTGTTTTGTTACGAATATATACAACACTAGTTGGTTCTCACTTTGAGTATGCTGTCAGTGTATGATGGCCTTGGAGAATAAAGGTCTTGAATGGCATTGAAAGAGTACAAATTGGTCAGGAGTTGTTCCTCATTAAAATAAGAAAAAAGGTTTAGGTATTTGAAGCTTCCAGCACTGTTGTACAGAAGCTATAGTGGTGATATGATTTTGGTCCACAAGCTTCTGAAAGAGGTTCCGATCCCAGTCTTCCAAACTTGCCAAGATACGAGGACTCAAGAACCAGAGGCGGCATGTTCAAATTAAGGACGCAGTCGTTCAACAAAAACACCCCGAAATAATATTTTTCTTGTCTTGTTGTGCGTTTGTAAAAAACATTAATAATGTGATGAATGTCGGTGACGTTAATGATTTAAAAAAAGTCTGGATGCTTTCTGGCATGATGTTTCTTACATTTAAGTACTCCTGTCATTGGAAAAGTCTTTTGTGACTGGCAAATATATTATTTAATTTATCTAATTATTTTATCATATTTACATATATAAGTATATAGTTACATGTTCATTATATTGGATTAATTATACTAATGGTTAATATGGCTATAACTTTTATTTTGTTGGTGTAATTTTATTTATTTATTATTTTATTTATAGATTTTTTTTGTTTTTCCTTTTTTTTCACACATGAACTTTCAATGTTTCATGTTAGAGACAGGCATAGGGAAGGAAATCGTGTTTACTGTGCCCATAATTCAATAAATAATTTATTTTATAAAATGTTGAAACAACGAATATTTGTGAAACATCTCCATTACTTATCAATTCAAATGTTATATCAGAACAGATTTAATCTTAACTAACAATACATTTAGAAAGTTTCACATTATTTCAATAATTTAGCGAAGAATCAAAAATAAAAGTCATGAACTTGTCACACAATTTACTGAATTAATTTTAAAAAAATCACAAACTTTATTTTCTTTGGCTTGTTGTTGTTGCTTAGACAAATCACTTTTCAATGATTCAATGGTTGATCGCATAATCAATATTTCACTTGTTTGAGTATCATTTTCATCTTTGGCTTGCTTCAAATCTCTTTCAAGTTTTTCTTTTTTTCTCAATTCTCGTTGTTTCTCCGTTTCTTCCATTCCTAATGTATGTTCGAGCTGTATTACAAAATTGAGATTATTAAACTTGAATGAGAATTTAAAATTTACAAAATGTTACTTGTTACCTCTTTGATTTTATTGAGATTTTCATTATATGAATGTTCCATCAGTAGAAACTGGTGTTGCAGCACTTCATACTTAGTGTTCGCCTGATCTAATTCTATTGCCTTCATCTGCAATTGCTTAGCTGCTTCCTCTTTCTTTTTCACTAAATCCATGGCTCTTTCATGAAAAATCAATGGTTAAATATGTCTTCATATTAATATTTAAATTAATTTTTAAAAAGTGAATTGAAATGAAGTTGTCTTATTCTCTCTTGATAGACTTTTAAAACAAAAAAATACAGGTTTAAATTCTAATTAACATTCCTTTTTATTTTATTGTCAAAAACTATGAATGAGATGTTATGAGATTACGGTCAATTTTATAAAGAACTGACGATAAATAATTCCAATTCGGTAAATATATAAATTATTATTAAATGAAAATAATAAACAGCTTGTGCTGTATAAATGCCTTTGGAAACTTGTTTTTATTTTATGATATATACTTCCACAACTTAACATTTTTAATTTAATACTTATTAAATGCAGAATAATTTGTAAATTTGCAGATGGTAAATTTCAAACTAATTCATTTCTCAATTATCTGTTTGAAATAACTAATTATTAATATTAGATATTTGGTCTTCTTTTTTTCAATTTTGTTAAATAATATCACACAAAATCCTTTTTGGCCTTTTTTTGGTTTTTTTTTCTCTGGATCTTCACTTATTTCATAATGACCTAGAAAGTTCAGAAGGAATCTTTCGTTTGCATAAGTTCTTATGATAGATTTCATAGCGCTGCTGAACATTGTGAATGTGATTCATAACAAAATCTATTGATCGTTTTAGTGGAAAAAAAATTTTGTACAACTTAATTCATCCAAACAAGGGGACTATATAATTTAACGAATAAATTCATGATTCAATTATAATAATTTGAACATACTTATACCTACATTAACTCAGACATGCAAGGTTTGTGACATGGAGGATAATAATTATTAAAGCTTAGATCAGCTTTTTTGCAAAAAAACTTATTATTATAGAAAATACATTATTAATATAACTAAATATTCTAAAATGATATTTCCACAAAAATAATTTGAATTAGTTATTTTTAGATATGTGAAAAAAATATGTGAAAAATAAAAATTGAAACACTGTTGAAAAGCTGGACAATCCAATAAAACTGAGTACTGAAATACTGTAAGACACAAAAAATTGAACAATTAAAATAATGTAAAATGTCTACGTGGCCTAGCTCAAAAATTCCCACGCATGCAAATGGTTATATCATAACCGAAGAAACTGTTTTTATCTAGGCAATTCTGAAAATTAGGTTTCACTTTTCAATTTTTAAAGACAAATAAATTAATGATTTGGCTGATTTGTTTCTAAAAATGATGTTATCATTAAAAACTAACAAAAGGACATTTTAAAAAATGTTTGGATATCTGTCTGATAAATAATTTTGAGCAAAAAAAACTAAAAAAATAGACATGTTAGAAAAAGTTCTTTCAAATACGTTGTTTGAGAAGAAGAACCAGACCCTTCTCCCATCAATTCAGCCAATTCCATGAATTGTTGTTTAACATTTTTTGTCAGGAGACTCGCCTCAGTTTCGTTCTCTTGCGCATTATTCACTAAAGTTCGAGCTGCAGTGAGTTCCTAGTTGAAAAGGTTAATAATAAATTCTATTTTAAATTTTCTGTTAAAAGATGCGAGTCTAGCACGGATATAACATCTTGCATTGGTAAAACTCACCAAGTTAAATATTTTTTAATAAAATCACTTCTATCATACTATCTCTCTATTTTCTAACAATAGTTATAATTTTCTATTTTATTGAAATTAACAAGATATTTGATATTATACATAATAAATAATTTCTGAAATGCAAATAAGGGCCTTATTTCGATTCAACTAATACCGAGTGCCAAATAAAGAAAACTATTGGAGTTCTTAGTATGGTTAACAGATTTCTTTGAGCCTGAACTTGGATCGTCGTCAACGTCAAACCATAAAAAATGTTAGCGTCATAACCATAACAACCGATACATTACTAACAATAACAATAATGCAGTGTTATCATTTTCTTCGGTGTTATTTTCTTTCAACATCAACATTGGTAGTGATGTAATTATTTTTTGTTGTATATTGATTTGTGGTTGCCTGATTTCGATAAGAATATCTTTACCAAGTTTTAAGTGAATGTGATTATTGTTGTATTCATTCATTCATTCATTCATTCATTCATTCATTCATTCATTCATTCATTCATTCATTCATTCATTCATTTTCATTCATTCAATGATCCTCTGTAATCCCTTAAGGGACCGTTGAGGCCGATGGTATTCTTCTATCTCTCCAAAATCCTTTTCTTTCCCTCGCCATCTTCATTGAGCTCAATGTTTCAACCCCCGTCCATTCCGTGATATCATCCATCCACTTCCTCACAGATCTTCCAACTTTTTTCTTCCAGTTCCTCTTTGATCAGTCTGTCGTCTGTCATTCTGCAGATGTGCCCAAAGATACCCAGCTTTCTTTCCTTGACACTTTCATACACAGTTTTTTGTCTTCCAAGTTGTTTTCTCATGGCATCGTTTCTTATCTTTTGTCTCCAACTGATTCCCAGCAACTTTCTATAACAATGCATCTCGAACGCTTCCAGTTTGTCTTTGTCTCTTTTCTTCAACGTCCAAGCCTCACATGCATACATCAATGTAGAAAACACACACGCTTCTACGATCTTTACCTTTGTTTTTGTAGATACCTTACCGTTTTTCAATATTACTTTCAAAGATGCAAACATTCCTCTCGCGATTGCTATTCTTCTATCAATTTCTTTCGAACAATTATTGTCATCAGTTATGAGATTATTGTTGCAGTTGATCATATTGTAGTGTTTTGTCAAGAATTTTGCGAATTGTAATGTTTTTAATTGTAATTGAAATGTTTTGCGTCATTTCTAAATGTGATTTTATGCTTCTTTGTACTTGTTTAGCCCAAGTGCTTTTTCTGAGGTTGACCTAGAACTTCTCCTCTTTTACTTCACAATAACACTTATGTTGCTATTATTATTAACATAACATAATATAGCGTACGATAGTAAAGAGGTGAAAACTATAAAGTCACTATGCCCAATCAAAATAAAAATTAAGTATAATGCTCCAAAACTCACTGCATAAAAAAATTAATTAGCATTCACAATATCTTCATTCAAAACATTCAAAATTTCCAAAGTTCTGTTTATAAAATAATTTATTCTCATATTAGATTCGGGCATTTCCCATCCAGCTTCAAGTTATGCCCACTCGTTATGTAACAACCGTGTGGCTTTAATTTTGGAAAGCTGCTCACGTCAACATTTTTCATCGTTTTTTACAAAAATATGAGGTCACCTCTTAACAATCTAAACTTTAAAGTAGGTAAGCTCAAATGCTTCAGACGATCTTCATATTTTAAATGTTTGCATAAATTGATAATTTTCGCAGCCCTTTCTGTACTCGTTCAATTGTCCATGGCGACTATACAGATGCAGCGTACTCCAGTTGAAATCGAACTGAGGATTTGTATAACATTAGGAAGGAATCCTGTGAGATTTCTCAAGGGTCTGGAAATTAAATCTAATTTAACCTATTGAAAAAACTTTATTAATTTTCTGATTTATATGTTCATGAAATTTTAATGAAAAATCAAACAAAATTTCTAAATTATCAATCTTACTACAATCCTTCAAAGGATACTTATCAATAGCATGCGTACATTCAGACGCCATATTATTTGAACCATCTCACAACGAAGCATTTCTTACCATTTAACTTAAAACTGGATGACTCACACCATACTGATGTACTGATGAAGCATTTAAACAGTTCTGCAAGTTAGGGTTAGGGTTAGTTATTTAAACAGTTCTGCAAGTTACCCGGTCCCTTTCCGACTTTATGACTCTACAAAATTCATCATCATCCGCATACATATAAACCCCCACATTATTCACGCTATCCATAAAAACAACAAAATCATTAATATAAATTAAGAACTATATTGGCCAGCCAAATCGCGTATATACCCATCATCTTCAGTCTTGGTCGTTTCATCCGTCGACTTCAATAATTGGATAGCATTGTTGATTAACCCTTATTAATAAAACCGTGTTATCGATAATAATCAAATAAATTATTATCTAAAAAATATAATTATCTGCAAGAATAGTTACCGCCTCCATCAATCTGCAACACACACAAGTCAAAGATATCGATATATAATTATCCCCCGAATCCCTATCCACTTTCTTATAAATTGGTACAACACTATTTCTCCACATGTCCTATATAACCCCAATCAGATGATCCATTAAATAAGTAACATAAATAATGACTGCATTCAAACAAACAAAACCCTAGCATGGGTATTGTCCGGCCCAGCCGATTATATATTTATTTATATATTTATTCAATTTTTTGATTTTATAATTTTATTTAAAACATCCAATTATTCATATTTAAGATCAAACATCTCTTTTTCAACAAATTTATTTTCTATTTGATAGTTCACTATTTTAATATTAAAACAACCATTTTGTGTTTATCAGAATAAACAATATAGGCTGTTTCAAAATAGGCGGCCACTGTATTAGCTTTATCATTATAATAGACTAATATTATTTTATTAGCAACGCCATCCAAACTATACAATTGAAGAAGCTGCTTCCAACAATTATTAACATGCCTCCATAATACTTCAGAATTATACTTAACTTCAAGTGCAAATCTTTTGATATAAGTTTCCTTAAAATTAATTAAATATAAAAAATTCCAAACCAATTATTATATTTAATCAAATTAAAAATGAAGCAATCAATCAATCAATCAATCTTCGTTTTGCGTCCAGAGACCCGGTTCCCCCGAGGTAGGACGTTGTTTTCTTTGCCATCAACTTTTTGCGCCAAATTAGACGATCAGTTGTATCCATTTCATTTAAATTTAAATTCATTTAAATCTCGATTGTTTACGACCAGGACTTCCTTGGATGGCCTTTGGGACGTGTGCCAGGCACTTCAACATCTGCAAGAGAAGTTATGGCACTGTTTCCACTTCGTTTGACATGACCAAACCACCGCAGACGGCATTCGTCCTTTATATCATCTAAACCAGCACGACGCAAGATTTCGGTAGATTTGATGTGGTCCTTAAGACTAATTCGTTGCATCCATCGGAGCCTTTTCATGTCGGTTCGTTGAAGTTGTTGTTCCAGTTTGGTTGTCATTGGCCATATTTCTGCACCATATAACAACACCGAACGTATCACAGATTTATAAAGTCTTGATCGTAGTGGTAGTGGGATGTCACGCCACATCAATATAGAGACAAGGAGATGCCATTTATTCCAGGCTGCACGTATGCGTGCTCGAACGGCAGCTTCAGCTGTTCCAGTACAATCCAAAACATCTCCTAGATATTGAAACGATGTGACTTTCTCTATCTTAATTCTCTATCTTAGCAGGACAAACAAAATTGTACACTTTAGATAAATTACCAATTATTTTAGAACAACGTTTGTGACACCACTGGTTACACCGCTGACACAGGGCCATCGTCCAGAAGCTGTGGATTGGATGGGTTCACCAATGTTCATTTCTTTGGTTTTGCTGATGTTGACTTTGAATCCATGATCGGCGAGTCTGGTGTTCCAATCTTCAAACATCTGTGCTGCATTCTGCTCAGACGTGGCTGAGCAGAATGCAGCACAGATTATTNTTCAATTAAATTTAAAGCTTTCATGTCTTGCTCGATTGTTTGCGACCAGGACTACTTTGGACGGCCTTTGGGACGTGTGCCATTTCCCCGCTAGGAAACCAAATTGATAATTTCCGATTGTGATGCACAACGTTAATCTTCTCTAAATGATTTTTTCGAAAATTTTCAGGGAGTGTTCTAACAGACGTATACCCCGATATGATGAACAGTTCAATGGATCACCTTTGCCTTTGTATAGCGGAACTGTCATGCTATAGTTCCATTCGTCGGCATTGAGCAATTTCTCCACACTTCACGGCAAAGTTGTAGTAACGTTTGGATACCTGCAGTACCAGATGCTTTAATTATGTCATTTGTGAGGCAAGAGTATCTAAAAATATAAAAAGAATTTTGATGTTTTATAGGCACATATATATCTACCACATAACCTAAAACGTCTAAAAAACTTGTCCATAATTCAATTATTTGATTCTGCCTGGTTAAAAACACAATGATCAAGTGTATTCAATAAGATAACTTTCAAAAACTGGTTCATTAAAATATTATTTGCCTAGTTGAAGTCATATTTTTTTACATGTACATCAACAGTCCTATTTCACAAGAAAAACTTATTAACACATAGTCGCTTTTTCCTATTGGGTCATGAAAAAGTATATCACATTATACTGCCTTAATATAATGTTTTAATAGTTACTTATTAATACAATTCATTCATTTTATCTTCTTTTGATTCTTAAATATTGAAGTAAAAAGTCACAACGTCTTAAAGCCCTAAAGTCACTTCGTTTCAATATCTAGGGGATGTTCTGGATTGTGCTGGAACAGCTGCTGCCGTTTGAGCACGCATACGTGCAGCCTGGAATAAATGGCATCTCCTTGTCTCTATATTGATGTGGTGTGACATCCCACTACCACTACGATCAAGACTTTATAAATCTGTGATACGTCCGGTCTTGTTATATGGTGCAAAAATATGGCCAATGACAACCAAACAGGAAAAACAACTTCAACGAATCGACATGAAAATGCTCCGATGGATGCAACAAATTAGTCTGAAGAACCACATCAAATCTACCGAAATCCTGCGTCGTGCTGGTTTAGATGATATAAAGGACGAATGCCGTCAACACCGTCTGCGGTGGTTTGGTCATGTCAAACGAAGTGGAAACAGTGCCATAACTTCTCTTGCAAATGTTGAAGTACCTGGCACACGTCCCAAAGGCCGTCCAAAGAAGTCCTGGTCGCAAACAATCGAGCAAGACATGAAAGCTCTAAATTTAAATGAAATGGATACAACTGATCGTCTAATTTGGCGCAAAAAATTGATGGCAAAGAAAACAACGTCCTACCTCAGGGAACCGGGTCTCTGGACGCTAAATGAAGACTGATTGATTGAAATTTAATTTATGTGTCATGACTCATCTCATATAGAAGTAGAAAAGTTGACAGCAAGTAATGGCAGCCTAATGTCAACAACTTTTGCCAAGACAACCGGTCGACAAAAACAAATCAAATTAAAAAACATGATAGTGATAAGTAAAATACACTTTTATTGTGGCAAACAGAACATTAGAACGTTGTACCATACTGGAAAATTGAAAACGTAAAACATGAAATGAAAAGAATGACTCTCAACATTCTAGGTTTGAGCGAAACTGTGGAAGAAATCAAGTGTCATTAGATTTGAAGAAAGCAAATTTATCTACTCTGGAGGTGATTCACACGAACGAGGAGTAGGTGTACATTTGAACAAAGAAATGTCTGAAAATTTAGAAAGTTTCTAGGCGGTGCCAGATAGAGTTTTGTTGGTCAAAATACACACAAAACCTTTCAACCTAGCTGTTATTTGAGTTTATGCTCCAACGTCTGAAAACAGTGAAGACCTTGATGCTTTTTACAATGATCTTGATAATGCTTTAAAAACATCCAAAACCAGGCTAAAAAAAGTGAATTAGAGTCATAAATATTATAACTAATGTTAAAAGGCTGACAAAAAAACAGAATTCTAAATGAAATTATAAAAATATAATTACTTCGCGTAAAGTTTCAATAATTTGTTGATTGCTCAAACACATCTCAATTGTTTTTTCAATTTTTCCATTGTTATCCATAACTTCCTGATTCAGTTCATTGCATTTATCAATGAGTCTTAATTCGTTTTCTTTTGTTTTTGCAACCACTTCAAACAACTTTTCAAACCTTTCAAAAGTAAAAAAATTTATTACATGACTATAAACAGTAAATTAATTTTTGTTAAAATACTAACTCATAACACAAATGTGTTGTTCCATGTTGATCTAGAAGCTCATGTTTAACTCTCAAAAACTTTTGAACAACCTCATCATAGGTTTCATCGCTGACTAGCAATGCAGCATCCTTTTGATGATTTGAGACATCTTCTTTCGGTTTCTTTGAAAAATAAATTTATTTTTATTTTAACAAAATTAAAAGTATCAAATCTGCATTTGTAAAGGTTGTTAAGGAAATGTTGAAATTTATTTAATATAAAAATAAAACAAGTTACTCAAAATTTTAAATTTAATTTGATAAAAAAAATTAAAATTCAACAAATTTAATTATTAAATTATCATGTAATTAACATTTAATTACTATTAAAATTAAAGTATTAATAATTAATCATGTTATTCATAATAGTATTAATATCAAAATACTGAATTAATTAAATTAACTTTAATCTTTTTAATTTAATTTTAACATGAATTATTATTATAAACATTATATTATAATTATATGATTAGCATTTTTTAACTTTTCAATTTAAAATACAATCTATATGACCAGAAAGATAAAAATTTTGCATTGAAAAAATTAAACTTACCGTAAATTTTGAGTACATTTTAGCACTTAGGAAATGCAGTGAGGGACAACTCCACGAAGCACAAACGCAAATTTAAACCTTAACTGAGAACTAAAATGGCATCTGTAGCAAGGATAGGCTATTAACCATAGATATAAAAATTTGTAACGATTCATAAAATTCACTGGTATGCATGATACCATGATACCAGATGTTTCAACAATTAAACTTGTTTCAAATATGTAATCCATTTTTTTCTATAACGTAGTTTTTTCATAATTTCAAAAAATGGTTTAAAACATCATAAAACCAAAATATACTACATAATCCAGATAACGTCTATGATATTTCAATGATATAATCCAATAAATCTTTTCAAATCAAATCACTTTTATACTTTTATTCAATCAAACAAAACAAAAAAGCATGAATGATTCGGAGAACAAAAAAAGAAAATTAATTCTTGTGGGCTCAAATATAGGATATGTGCATGTACCAAACGGTAACAAATTTTCAAAAATCAGTATGAGATCCGAGATCTTCGATGTTTCAAATATCAGAATGCTCATCCATTTTTTTCTATAACGTAGTTTTTTCATAATTTCAAAAAATGGTTTAAAACATCATAAAACCAAAATATATTACATAATCCAGATAACGTCTATGATATTTCAATGATATAATCCAATAAATCTTTTCAAATCAAATCACTTTTATACTTTTATTCAATCAAACAAAACAAAAAAGCATGAATGATTCGGAGAACAAAAAAAGAAAATTAATTCTTGTGGGCTCAAATATAGGATATGTGCATGTACCAAACGGTAACAAATTTTCAAAAATCAGTATGAGATCCGAGATCTTCGATGTTTCAAATATCAGAATGCTCATCCATTTTTTTCTATAACGTAGTTTCTTCATAATTTCAAAAAATGGTTTAAAACATCATAAAACCAAAATATATTACATAATCCAGATAACGTCTATGATATTTCAATGATATAATCCAATATATCTTTTCAAATCAAATCACTTTTATACTTTTATTCAATCAAACAAAACAAAAAAGCATGAATGATTCGGAGAACAAAAAAAGAAAATTAATTCTTGTGGGCTCAAATATAAGATATGTGCATGTACCAAACGGTAACAAATTTTCAAAAATCAGTATGAGATCCGAGATCTTCGATGTTTCAAATATCAGAATGCTCATGAAAGATAACGAATTTATTACAATAATGAATGAATTGGAATTGAATGCATGGACCAGTTATAGAGCTGTGGTGCACGAATTTCTCGAGAACAAGAAAGCAACTAACTACGAAGTAATTGTTAATAAAATGCTTTCTGCATTTCAAAATTTAGGATGTCAAATGAGCCTTAAAATTCACTTTTTATTTTTACATTTAGATTATTATCCGGAAAGTCTTGGCGATTATAGTGAAGAAATGGGTGAAAGGTTTCACCAAGACATTAAAATAATAGAAATCAGATATTAAATACGATGAAAAATTAACATGATGGTGGACTATTGTTGGATGCTGAAAAGGGAGAATTTGACGGCTAAAGAATGTGGTAGAAAACCAAGAATAACTATTTGTCCTTAATTTGAAGTTTCATGCTTTATGTTTTTTCATTTCTTTCAATGATCCTCTGTAATCTCTTAAGGGACCGTTGAGGCCGATGGTATTCTTCTATCTCTCCAAAATCCTTTTCTTTCCCTCGCCATCTTCATTGAGCTCAATGTTCCAACCCCCGTCCATTCCGTGATATCATCCATCCACTTCCTCACAGGTTTTCCAACTTTTTTCTTCCAGTCCCTCTTTCTCATCAGTACTTTTTTGATCAGTCTGTCGTCTGTCATTCTGCAGATGTGCCCAAAGATACCCAGCTTTCTTTCCTTGACACTTTCATACACAGTTTTTTGTCTTCCAAGTTGTTTTCTCATGGCATCGTTTCTTATCTTTTGTCTCCAACTGATTCCCAGCAACTTTCTATAACAATGCATCTCGAATGCTTCCAGTTTGTCTTTGTCTCTTTTCTTCAACGTCCAAGCCTCACATGCATACATCAATGTAGAAAACACACACGCTTCTACGATCTTTACCTTTGTTTTTGTAGATGCATTACCGTTTTTCAATATTACTTTCAAAGATGCAAACATTCCTCTCGCGATTGCTATTCTTCTATCAATTTCTTTCGAATAATTATTGTCATCAGTTATGAGGCTGCCCATAAGGGATTTATATAAATTGGTTCACTTGTTCGAGCTTTTCTGCTCCTATCTGGAATTCATCATTGTTTCCACCTGCTTCCGAAATCATTATCTTTGTCTTACTGCTGTTGATGTGTAGTCCATGGTTTCTTCCACCATCGTACGTCAACTCGATCAGTTTCTGTAGACCCTCTGCACTAGATGCTAGCAGATCTATATCATCTGCAAACCTGAGGTCCCTTATCACTCTGCCTCCAATGTCGATTTCCTCAATATCTGCATTCTCCATTTTTTCCAAGGCTCTTTCCAACAGTGCTAAGAACAGTAATGGTGATATTGGATCTCCTTGTCTACTTCCTATGCTCGCTTTGATCCAGTCTCCCAGCTCTGTACCTACCTTTACTGCCATTGTTGACTCCTCATAAAGCCCTTTTAGCACCCTTACCATTTTTGTTGACACTCCCATACTTTCCAAAGCTGCCCACAAACCTTCGTGCCAGACTGAATCAAACGCCTTCTTAAAATCCACAAAACAATGAAAAGTTGTTTGACCTCTGCTTCCTGCATCTTCCAACAATAGTCTCAACATCAGGATTTGCCGGACTGCATGCTTCATGTACTTTACATTTTATTAATTTTTTTGTAAAAAAAATATCTGAGTATTATTTTGAACAAATTATTTTGTAAATAATCGTGAAGATAGAATGTTAAAATAATCAGTAAAAAAAATAAAAATATTAAAATTGAATTTGTGAAAAATTCTGACGTGATAGAAATCAGCGTGCTTGAATTATGTTAGAACATTTAAAATATGAGAGACATCTAAAAATTAAAAAAAATGCATACCATTATTGTTATATCCATTATTGTTATACCGCCCCATGCATAAATGAAATAAAATTAAAACATCAAATGCGTTGTTGTAACGGTAATTCTCAAATACCAATAGACTTTTTTCATTCCTAAAAACGATATAAATAACGGTACTAATGTGTCAAGTTTCCGTTTATGAATTGACATTAAAAACGTATTTGTCTGAATTATATTTGATACCCTGTCAATAATATAACTACCTAAAAAAAATGTCGATTTATGAGGTGCTAGAAAAACATATTTTGAATACTTTTAGCAATTAAAAGTGAGCTTTCCTTTTCCTGTGTGGTCTCTTCGTTGAAAACGTTTCAGTTTGCACACGCAGTTAGTGTTCGTTTAATTTAATAATTGTTCAACAGGTTGTTAGCTATATTTGTAAACATGTTTTTTTACTCAAATATTTAATTTAGAATTTGTTAAAAAAAGTACTAAATGTCTAAATCTAGAGGTTAGAGGGGTTCGTTAGGCAGACTTCGAAAATTAATAATTAAATGAAAATTGTGGTAAAACGTAAAAGCATACAAGAAGGACTATGCATGCAATTATTTTTGTGTGATAAGCAAAAATTGTTTATCTTTATAGTCAAAGCTACAATGCAAGAATACAAATAACTTATCAAATTCGAAGTTAGAATGCTGTGTAAGAGGCATGAGGGGCAAATTTGACATTAAGTCGCTGAAAGTTGAGACTCACCATGGCAAATTGGAAGTTCTCAGATATATGCTTAATAATAGTTGAGATGTTATGTACAAATAGAGCATGAAAACCACATATTGAGGATGACAATCAATGTATTTATTCGTGGGATGTGGAATACAGTATGAAAAACGTTTATTTCTGAACATCGCTATAAATATTTTGGTAAATAAGTATGAAACCACGCTTCCTGTTGTTTTACATAGAATAATATTGAAAACTTTAAATTTGGCTCCGCCTGTCATCAATATTCATGACCAGCCGAAGTGCTTTATTTTTTTTCAATTTGTGATTTTTTTAACCGAATCATTTCATTTTTTTATATTTGTAATTTTTAATAAAATTCTAATATCATTATTTATTTATTATTTTTAAAATATGTTATAAACATGAGAACTATTTGTAATTTAATTTGGACATTATATTTTCATATAAATAACAAAACAGAAGTATCATCTAATAATTATCATTAGTTAAAAAAATACAAAAAAAGTTTCAAAATTTTAAACTGCATAATAATGTTGTATAAGTTACAGGGCTTTTTGGAACTGCTTTTTTCTTTCTGCTATGGTGCGCATCCACATAAATTCGTCTAGGTATGATTGTACGTGAGCATCGCACGTACCATTCATTCTCTTGAAATTTTTGTTTGGCGCATCGCCACAAATTCTCCACTCCATTTGTATGCACTCCGTTTACGGCCCGGAATGTAATGGAGTGATATACAGTTTTGTGGGCTAAACCAGGTACGGCTGTTATACTGTGATAAGCAGCCCATTGATCCGTCCAAACTGTTGTACCTAAAATTATTAAAATTGAACTATATTTCATAACCAACAAAAATGAATTTAAAAGTATTAAACTTTAAGAAACCAACCGGGCAGAACATGTCCCTGTATCAATTGCAACAACGTGGCAGCATCTTGTTTATTTACTTCCACCAGAAAGGCATCTTTTGTTTGCGTATCGATGCCTCCAAAAACCCAGTGTGTCCTAACTGGACGTGCATTTCGGTTCCTCGATCTTTTTGCAGATGAAATCTTTCATCTATCTGAACGATGTGTCCGGGGCCACCTATTTGTGCGGGGTTATCACGAGCCCAGTCAATGCATAGATCTCGATATAAATTGAACCAGTCAGGTAATGTATGCCCGACGTCCAAATCTAAAATCGACGCAACCGTAGCCTGGCTAACGTCGTACATAGACCAGAAATACGTCATCGGTTTGAATTTAAAACAATTCGCATCATCATTCTTAAAGAATTAAAATTTTTATAAACAATGGAAAAAAATCATACCAAAATACAATTTGTAAGGGATGATTGGCTATGGCTGTAGAAACTTTCATGCCTAATTGTTTTTGTAGCGCGGCACCTGGAGTTTCTACACCTCCACAAGTAACCATCTGCCGTTAGTGCACTTTCTGCAAACCTTTTGTTTTATTATTTTTGAAAAAAATCAAAATCTGACAAACGAGAAAACTGTACAGCATGCAAGGCAGTAGTATGAAATGATAACAAAAAGTAGTTAACGGAGAAAAAACGTTTTAAGCATGAAAAGTATGCAAACCTCATGTCTGCAAGACAGCGGCATGTCATCGTGGCCGCTATCAAACCATGCTGTTTGGCCCACCTCACAGCATCTTCTTTCTTTAAAATATAATCTATCAACTGAGGGGTATGCAGCCATTTTTAACGTAAATAAGAGATAAATTTTTATTAATGAAAAATATAAATGCAATTGAAGATAGAAGAGAAAATAGGAAAAGGAAAGAATATTACATATTAAAGCTCATGTAAAAGATTACACAGCTTAACTATTACATTTAAATTTAATTTAAATTTTTTAATATTTTATTTTAATATATTTTATTTATATTTTAATATATGACCTTATTTGAAGCGCATCGATTGGTCATCAATATTAATGACATGCGGAGCCAAATTTAAAGTTTTCAATATTATTCTATGTAAACGACAGGAAGCGTGAATGTATCTAATATTTTTAAGATAAAAATGTTTAATTGTATGTTATGTCGTGTTTTCAAAGATTTAAAAAAATTCTTATCTAATTTTGATATCTAATGAATGACTGGCCGGCAGAAATTTCTGACCTGTAATAGATCTGTTGAGTTCGATAAGTCTGTTAAGTATTAATGAGGATAGTTACAGAATTTTAAAGGTCATGACGTTTACCCTAAAATTTTTAACAGAAGTTGCTTCTATGCGACTATTGTACGAATGTATGAATATTCACTTGTTTTATCAAATTCCTAAAAAATCTGGATAACATATCATTAGTAAAACCATTATGGTTATGAAGTTGAATGTATTTTTACTATACTACTTAGTCTTACCTCGGGGAGCCGGGTCTCTGGACGCAAAACGAAGATTGATTGATTGACTATATTAATTAGTTAACATAGCTAATAAGAAGTTATTTATTTTAGCTGGCTCACCGCTGTCATTCAACAAGTCGGCCAGCTTCTAATAATGGTTATTTTTTCTTATTCTTTATTAAGCTGTCAGTAAATTTCTAAACAAATTAATTATTTTTCAAAATTAATCACTGATTGCTTGACAATTATTTTTCCTATTATTTTTTTCTTTCTTTGAACTTCAATATTCAGGGTTTGATATAGTATTTTTTCTCTACAGTCCAATCTAAAAGATGCAGGTAAAGCTCCAACTGAGGAACCCACGATCCATAGAATCAGGATCACATTAACCAGCAAGAATGTCAAAAGTCTGGAAAAAGGCTAGTAGGCTAGTTTATCCTAGATTCATATATATATATATATATATATATATATATATATATATATATATATATATATGTGATTTCTACCGAATTGTTGGCATAAACCTAGCACTTCACACACATCACCCGAATATTTCCACGGCACTCTCTGTATCAGCTTCACATGGCGTTTTCAGATCCATCATTTTTGCGAGATGGCCAGATCCTTTTCTGTTGTGTTTTAGTGGAGTAGTTTTACTTTTTTTGGCATGAGGTTGACAATCCTTATTGTCATCATCATCAGTTTCTTTGTGATTTTGTGAAATCATTTTATGGACAACTTCCAAACGAAACTGCAAGAATGTCTTTTTTTCTGTCTTTTGCCATTATCCTATCTCTGCGATACAGCAGCCAGGAGTTGGCCTGAATCGAATCTAAAAATGGAACAAAACACGTAATTTCCACTGTTTCGTCCTTGCATTCAACCTGGTAAAATAAATACAAGTAGATTTTAAAAATCAATACAAATCTGATGTTAAAAAATTTAGTTAAGTTCTGCTTACCTATAATAACTCATTATCATGTCAACCAAATCACCAAATCCATGTGTTTGTTGTATTCCTTTAAATGACAGGACGGTTCACATTTACAAGAGTCCATTGGTTCAACACCATGTACAGCTGATACCAATAAAATTGACTTTCGCTCAAACCATTTTCTCATCATTTCTTACAGCACAACTATAGCATTCTCTTCCTTGCTTCTTGCAGCATCTTTTCTGATACAAGTTTGTTGCCAAGCTCCTTCATCATATTCCTCATTATCGTACTGGTGCAGTACTTGCTTTCCTTCAACATGTGGTCAATAATATTTACACTTGTGAAGTACCTATCATAATAAACATGGCTTCCTCCTGCCAATGATAATGACAGTAGAGCCACAACTCCTCCACCTAACCCGAGTTTTTTTGTATGTCAGCAGGCACTTTATTGCCCCCCTGATACATTAAAAAATCCTGAACTACGCCGTCACTAGTTGACACAACAATGTTTTTCATACCTGCTGGGTTCGATTTGTTTGATAGGAATTGTTTGGCAGGGGCAGCTTCAGTAAATGGAACCGTTGTTCGTCTATTGCCAATTCTTTGAATCTTGGCAACTGTAACCACTTTTGCCGGATATGCTCAACGAATGCCTTTACCTTTCAAAATTTATCCTTTTTTCATTTCCTCTGTGACATCATTGTCAACCACCATTTTAAGCTTTTAGACTAGACCAGTACATTTTCATTTGAGGATAACCAATGCATGACATCATCACAGAGACACACAAAAATTGACAAATTTCATATGGTGTTGTCATATGGTGGTGTTTTGCCCACCGATGTGATGTTCGCGCAATGAGAGATTAAATTTAAAAGTTCGTCGTTAATGTAACTTTGAAAAAATTGAAAGGGACACCAATGAACCATCATCCTCCTTTATTCCCACAACCGGTTGCAAGACTAGATCAAAATTTTCTTTTATAAAATATCTTGCCCTGCTTCTTCAATTGCTTTCTCTGTTTCTTCTACTGTCATCATCACTGTCATTTTCTTTATCAGAGTCAGTGTCATCAGAATCATTTGATTCAACCTCATGCCCCGGCTCTAAATCATCGCCATCAGATAAATCTTCAATTTCTGATTCATCCAAAGTATCAGGACACGTCTGCAAGTAAAAAATATACAAAAATGGGCTACAAACCTATCCATTTTCCGTGTGTCTGCAATCATGGAAAACCATTTTTATAACTGTAATGAATTTTCTCTTCGTCCACACATGTGGATTTTGGGACTGAGGAGGATACATATATTATAATAGATTTGTGAAATAGTGATTATAATTCATAAATGTACATTCTTTTAGTATGTGGTGATCTAATCAGAGGAGCTAAAGAAAAGCAGCTAAAGGTGAAAGGACCCGTCAGAATGCCAACAAAAATTCTGCGTATTACAACACGTAAAACGCCATGTGGTGAAGGTTCAAAGACGTGGGATCGATTTCAAATGAGAATTCACAAGAGGCTCATTGATTTACACAGTCCTTCTGAGATAGTGAAACAGATAGTAAGCTTTCATATGACATTATTTTGTTAAACAATTTTTTTAGTAAATTGTATTCTGCATACTTTAGGAATTATGGTACAACTCGTTTTGTTAGCTCATTTGGCTTTTCAATGCAGAGTAACATCTACATATTCCATTAATTCTCATTTTTAGTAATAATTCGGTTTTATGTATTCGTTAGCTGCATAAGCAACAGTCATTAATTTGGAAATAATTTTGGTACTTCCAAAGTGTTAGCAATGTGAATATACAAAATATTTGAGATACATGCAACCAGATGAAAATTTTTGCGCCACTCCTCACCAACTTGCCAAAAAAATGTCTATGGCCCCACTTGTTCAAACAACTTGTGGGCTTTTTTTAGTTCCACTACAATTTATCCATGATCACTCATTTATCATTTATTTTTGTTACATATCACTGATTAGTTTTCTATGTTATTCTTTGTTTTTACCAACCAATTCCTAATATTTATTTGTTTTTTTACTCGCTAGTTTATAATAATTTCAAAACATTATCTCATAAAACTGTTAAGTGTTTAAATAATTCAAAAATTTTGGGACAAACTGTAGTAACACTTGATTTAATGCAAGACTTTGTCTAATTATTTTCAAACTTGTGAACCAAGTTTAGGTTGTATTGAACTTAGCATTTGCCTTTATCTATGCAACCTAACATTTTTTAGTACAGCAAAACAATTTATGCAGCAGCCAGGTATAAAAATAAATAAATAAATGTTTTTTATATTTCAGACCTCCATTTCGATTGAACCTGGAGTAGAAGTTGAAGTGACTATTGCTGATGTCTAAGCTCTCTGACTGGACAACGTCTACAATTTTTTGTGGATTTTTATAAATGCAATATAAAGCTTATATTGACTGAATAATCGTCTTTAAGCTTAATTGATGCATTTGAAATAAAGCAAAGCTGTTTTCCATTGTTTTATTTTCTACAAATTAATGTGGTCGGGTTCTGTTTTGCGATGACGTTGAAGATGTTTGCATCAAAAAGTTTTTATATCTGGAATTGCCCAATTCCTAACGACAACCACCAGTTATAAAGCAGTGCGCCTAGTCTTTTTGCTTGAAGCACAAGGCAGTGCGGTTGCAGTTTATCTCGTGCCCAAAAGAGCACTTGTAAGTGTATCTAGCCTTTGGGTCAAAGGTGCCTGTTCCACAAGGCAGATTTAGAATCGAAGATCATCCGCTGTCAGAGCCGTTGTCTTCTGGTACAGTTGGTTCGCGTCATCTTATTCCGTATTCAATGCAATCCAAGAAAGTTTCCTGCCCAGGACTTTCCCCTATCCACCACCTGGGGACGCGCCTCATAGCCAGTGCGCCCCAGCATGAAGTAATTAGCAAAAAAGATACAATAATTTCCGTTACTGAGCACCAGGTGCCTGGCACCCGTTAAGAGGTCGCCCAAAGAATTCCTGGACGCGGACCATACAGAAGGACTTGAAGGCACTTGGTCTCAAGAAGACAGACGCGATGGATAGATCGGCTTGGAGACAGAAATTAATGAATGGAATAAAAAGGTCCGACGCATAACGGATGGAAACTATAAATGAGGATTGATTGAATGTGGTCGGGTTCTTGGTTTGTGCATTTTCGATCTTTCTCAACTGCTTATCTTTATCGGGCGTTCTGTTTTAAATGGATACAGTGATTTGAAATTTGTTGCCATGTATATCGATCTCGGAAAGAACATGAAACGTCTTTTGGTTTCAGAATATTTTTTGTTTGAGATTTACCGATGCATCGACTACCAATATTATGGACACCTTGAATTAAGGACTCGCGGCGCCCGCATTTGGTATTTTAAACTTGTGTTTGTGACCGAACTCGTGTTTATGGCTTTAAAACAATTTGTATTTAAACATTAATGGTACAATCTATCGGTTCTGTGATAAAACAGTACCTACAAGATGGAACAGGTCAAAGAAGTTCGGTAATTAATTGGCTTTTTCGATTAACATTACAAACTAATGAATGCTGAAGAATAAATAAATTTTAATTATAAATGTTCTGTTTTGCCCTTGTTCTGTCTCTGTTCTGTTCATATCATATAGTGTGCGCAAAACCCTTCAGATTGAGTATCGTCTGCATTTTTTATGAGATAATCCGCCACTACGGTGGACCTTGTTTAATTCATCGTGTCATTCCTTTTACTAAAATTAATAAATGTAATCGTTTAATAAAAAGCGATTTCCGTGTTTTTTGATAGAAGCTGTTAAATCTCTGGTGAAAAGCAGTGGATGCATTATGTTTACAATTGTCCAATAAATCAATCACTGTACAACAACCTTGGTGCCCCAAGATCGGTAAATCTTTCTTGAATGTGACTATGTGCATGTGCATGCTATCAAAAACATTCGGAATAACTGAAATATCGAACCAAAAAAAATATTCCACTGAAGATGTGATGTGAAAGCGCTGTACGAAGAAGACAGAGTGACATTTGTTCGTCTCACTAAACTTACTTAAACAACACGTACATCCCAAAATCCAGCAATGTCAGAGTGTAACTGGTGTGCTAAGTTTTTCATGAAAAAACAGCAGCCAGCAGCGTTACTTACCTTGAAAGAAAAACTTCATGTAGAACATGTACGTTTCATAAATCTTGTTTAAAATCTTGTTTATAAATTACGATGATGAATATCAAAGACTGTAACAGCGCTGTTAAACTTTGTGACGTTTCCAGAATAACATGACAGTTGATGCATTTGTAGCCTCGACCAAATTCAACATCGCTGCTGCTGGGGTACTTCTTTTAGCACTTAGTCAAGATCCTCTAGAAAAGTTTTTTAGTAAAGCCAGGCAACGGTGCGGTGGAAATTTTTACGTCTTACAAAATTTAGTTTAGGTGGTCGTGAGAGAACTAACTCGTTTACACAATGTGCACTTTGCAGCCAAACTCTTAAAGATGTAGACAATGAAATTTGTTTACAAAATGTATTTTGTTTTTAAATAAAAGATTTTGATGTATACGAGTTTTTATAAAATAACTATGTTGAAAGTGTCTATGGTTTATACCAATTTTTACGTTATATAGTGATGTGGATCGACCTCTATGCAAAATGAACCTCTATGCAAAGTTTGAAATACCGAGCATGAGCGCCGTCAGCGTTTAATTTAAGGTGTCTATGGCTTATATACACAATTTAGATATACAATAAACTAATGTACGTACATATGATAAGCGCGAGCGTAATTATATCTGTTTGCTCACGTTTATTTTTTATACATGATTTAGGGATGTATATCATACGCCATCACAAAATGTTTTAATCTTAAACATGGAAAACAAGTCGTGTGTTGCCTGTTGTACGTGAAAAATAGGATGTGTTTGTTTATTATTTAAGATAATGAGAAGTAGAAAAATTGTAAGTTAATTTATTATTATACGTTCGTCTTTAACTTTCATTTGAAACTTGTTAATTTTTCAGAAATATTTTTTTATCGATTGTTACGTTATAAATAACAAAATTATTCACAAATCACATTGAAAAATAATTTCCAAATAATTTAGTTACCGTTAAATAGAATTGAATCTGATTTATGACTTTTCGTGTAATTTTTCAAAAGATATATTGACATATACAAGGAATATTTTTTAAACAGTTTTTCTAATAAATTTAACCATATATATATATAAATATATAAACTATAAAAATTGTAAAATTTATCGAGTATATATATATATATATATATATATATATATATATATATATATATATATATATCATACTTAAATGTGTTTGCAAGTTTGAAGCACGTGACTAATTGTAGAGCAAAAATCAGTGTCGCGAGTGACTACATTTTGAGAACTTTAGAACTTTTACCAACGACCACTCACACTGACAGAAATATATTTAAAATGTTATCACTAACGAGAGACTTAATAAAAAAATCTGGTGACCAACATCGGCCCAATGAAGAGCATCAACTGAAGCCTCTTACAATTTGTTATTGGTCTGAATTTATCAACAACCCATCTATAATGTACGGATTGTTTTCATCAAATTCTCGCAAACTGACCTATAATTCTGACAAAGTAATGGTCATAGGCACAAAGGAGGGCATGATCAAGTAAATGATTTTTAATCTCAATAATTTTTATCCCTAGTAAAACTGAATTACTAAATCAATATTTAAAAACTTAATTTAAATATGAAATTTTGTGTTATTAAAAAATGCATCACGCACATGTAAAATTAGGATCATATACCTACTTATAATATCTATACTGGCCCTCGAACGCACCCGCGTACATTTTCAGTGTGCAGTGCGCTGTGCGCTTTAGAGTTTGGTATCATTCTCCAGTTTCCATCACATGAACAATTATTCATTAAATTTTACAATTTTTATAGTTTATTAATAATTTTTATTCGTTTTATTCATTTTTTATTGGATTTACACAATATTTCTTCATATTTAATTTTTTTGCCTTGTGTCATATGAATAGTAACTATCTGAGAACATTATAATTAACAGACGTCCCCTTGTAAGAAACAATAGTGTAAGCATGTATATTTTTTAATGAGCGTCAAATCACGATATTGTGAATATAATTGTGGTGCATGTCCAAAACTACTGAATTAATTATTGAGTGATGGCTTGTGTTTGTTGATATACGGGGCTTCTTCGATTTTGAGGCGAACTGGATGGGTTTTAAACTCGAGAATCGTTGTATTTGGGTCTAGTATAGCTCTAGTAAGAGGTATATGGTTTTCGGTTTGCATATTATTATTATTAATTTATATCGCGTCTTGTGCATAGCTTCAGGAGCGGTTGGATAAACAACGACTTTTGACGTTTCCGTAGGTCTGGATAAACAAAAAGTTCTTTAATAATTTCCTAAAAATTTTGATGGTTGGTTGTTGACGAGTAATGGCAGGCAAACCATTTCATATGGAAGGAGAGCTGTATGTAAAACATTTGTTGACAACTGATAAATTACTGACAGGTTGATGCAACTGAATATATGAAGACGAACGAAGTTGATGAGTTGATAAATGACGCGATATAAGTTGATGAAGATATAATGGTTGAGATGTATTAAGTAACTTGCAAGTGATGACGGCGAGTTTAAATATAATGCGTTGACTTACTGGTAACCAATGTAGTTAAATGAGTGAATCTGTGCTGGAAGATAAATTACTGATATTTAGAACAATTTTTGTAACTCTATTTTGAACTCTTTGAAGTAAAGTTAAATAGTAAGAGGGAAGACCGTAAAGAAGAGAATTACAATAATCTAAACGTGATGGTACGAGATATCGAGCCAGTGCAGAAGCAATATCTTCATGAGAAAATTACGAATATGACGAATAGTTCACGTATAATAGTTACAACATTTTATCAAAGCTAAGACATGGGAATTAAAAGTTGGAGAAGAGTTAAAAGTTAAGCCTAAAAATTTAAGTTTAGAGGTTGAGGAGAAAGAAGAATCAGCCAAGAAAACGTGCGATTCGGGGGACATTTGATAAGCTGTTGGGGAGTACTAAGAAACACTACTTAAGATTTGTGGAGATTTAGCTGAAGAAATTTTAATAAATTCCAATCGTTTATGGCCATAGTACATGCATTTAAGTTGTCAAACTGAGATATTTGATTAGAGGTGGGAATTTTAGCTATTAGACACGTATACAATCAGCGTATTGATGAAAGAGTAGGCTTAAATTTACTGATAGAACTCTTAATTGTTTTATTAAAATGATAATTAACATTGAGAAATTGTTTAATACGATCAATTTTGTACGGAAGATATTAATGTCAGATAAAATTTCGTACGTACGATTGACAAAGTTATACACAACATTATTTTTATAAGGATCTGGACAATAGGAATTATTATGAAACACCTAGCCTGACTTTGAAAGTTTAACATGAACTTTAGTTACAAACTTTCTTTCTTTTTGTTTAATTAAAATTCTAGAAAAAAGCTGTTTTTGGTGCTAAATTTTACAAAAATATTTTAAATGTGAGTTGTTCTGAAAATTGTTCCGTAGGTTGTATATGTCCATAATGGTTTTACAAACGATGAATATGTCGTCAATGTATCGTGTTGAGTTGTCGAGAACGACAATTATTCTAGATTTGAGGTCAGCCATGTAAAACTCGGCAGATATCGGACTGAATGGGAAACCTATTGCCGTCGTGTGTAAATTAAGTGAACCATCCGGGCAAAGAAAAATTCTCTACAGTACATAATTTCAAAAGTTTGAAGTAACTGTGGTGGAACCTCAAGTTGTGGTGTTTTGAATAATTGTAGACGTAATTACAGATAATTTAAGTTGTATAATCGGTTGGTATATTAGTTTATGAGCTTTCAACATCTAACAAGGCCAACGCATCGTTTGTTATCGTTGATGATATCGATAAATTCAAGAGGATTTATCAGAGGTGTCACATGGATTTAGAAGTTTGTTGTTTGTCTTTGCTGAATGGTAAGTTGGAGTGGGACACTGTGAAAATGTAGATCGTCGTGGATTGTTCGGTATGTGTGTCTTCACGTTGCCGTATATGTTGCCAGGACCATATTCGCCAACAAGCTGGGAGAGTTAACTTGTGTAATATATTAGAAAATGTTTTGATGTTTGTTGTGGAATCTTTATGAATGCATTGAAACTTTGTATCATCGGCTAAAATGTGATCAATTTGTTTGTGATAGTCTACCTTGTTCATTACCAAAAACATGTTCGACTTATCTAACATCTTATACAACATCTTGTAACGTCTTATACAACGATGTTGGGATTACTGCAAAAATGTTTAGCAGCAACTATCATTTTTGGATAACGCTGTTTTGTCCTTAGCATTACAATGGCGATGTGCATCAGCTTGTGGTTAGCTGTGTTAGCCTTTCGAATGTGATTAACTGCTGTTTTTCGACTTAATACTTGTTATATATCTAAAATAGAACAGTGTTGTATTTGCGTTTTTATAAAAAGTTGATCCAAATTTTTATATAAATTTTAAATTATGAAATTTGTTAGCAGGAAATTCTAAAACCAGCTTAAACAATCAAAACGAAATTGAGGCTAATATTAAATGTTTGTTTCAGAATTTGACAAAAGGGGAGAATGATTTATTCATAATAAAATATTGATCAAAATAATTTTTGAAAAATGCAGAAAGTAACATATGCAATTTTTTTAATTATTTAGTTTTTGTCAAAAAGTTTATTTGAGAAATAAACGTATAAAAGTTGCAGAACAATTTATAATGTACAGTAAAAATATTCATTATTTTTATATTTATTTCGTTTTTTGTTTCCTCCGTCAGATTCACAAACTCCCTTACTGCTTCGTGAATCATCTCTCTCTCTTTTTCTCTCTCTTTTTCTCTCTCTTTTTCTCTTGTGAATCAATCTTCTCAATCTTCTCTCTCTCTCTCTCTCTCTCTCTCTCTCTCTCTCTCTCTCTCTCTCATAAACAAACATGCACGCACACATGCGTATATATATATATATATATATATATATATATATATATAGTGTTTATTAGTGTTTATCAATTTGCATTCGAATTTGTCTTAATAAATTTTTATCGACAAGATTGAGTCTGTTTAAAATTGAAGCTTTATTTTTATTAACAAACATTTTATCAAAATTATTGCAGATTATATATATATATACATATATATGTATCTAAATATATATATATATATATATATATATATATATATATATGCTGGAAGTGTTTCATTATCTTTTACGTGTTTCATTATCGATGATTCCTCTGTTTGTAAATTTATTGGTAGGAAGAATTCCAATTGGCCGTTGTTGAATATTTATTATCGGATTGATTGATAGTATTGATTCGGCTAGTCGTAAATTATAATGGTTGTCATTGTTATGTAAAGTTTCAACATTGTGGTCCAAGATTTGTCTAGTAATTTTAGTTCTATGATTCTCTTTCATGTGACTCTTTATAGCTCCAGTTTGTATGTGCATCGTGGGTCTTCTCGATAACTTGGTCAACGTCACACCAATATATTCAGAATTATGGTGCCCACACTCACCAATATTACATTTGAACGAATATATTAGATGGCTATGATCCATTATCGATTCTGGTTCTGTTTTTCATCACAAGAGATGACGTTCTTTGGTTGGAGTAGTATATTCGTAGTTTAATACTATCGTTTTCGTTGGCTGCTTGGACGTTATTTTTTATGATTCGTTTTATGATTTTTTCATCCTGTTCGAAAGTGGTTGGCATGTGATTCTTATAATATATTACTGTGTTATTTTTGTTACTATTGTTGGTTGCATTGTTGTTGTTGCCTCGGCTGTACATATCATTAGCAGCGCTGCTAGGAATATGTACAGCCGAAGCGCCTTTTGTTGGCCCGGGTAACACTAAATCAGCAAATTGACGGTGTAGCAATGGGGATCTCCATTGGGAGTACTCTTCGCAAACTTCTATGTTGGACATATCGAAGAAATTTTATTTAAAGAGGAACCAGAGGTAACACCTAATATATACAGCTGATATGTTGACGATATATTTGTTACATATGAAGATGATGATCAAATTGCAAGACTCCTACAACGACTAAACTCGTGAAAATTAAAAATATGTACAGCCGAAGCGCCTTTTATTGGCCCGGGTAACACACTATATCAGCAAATAGACAGCGTAGGAATGGATTCTCCATTGGCAGTACTCTTCGCAAACTTCCATGTTGAACATATCAAAGAAATTTTATTTAAAGAAGAACCATAAGTGACGAAACACGTCTGGCTTAGAACGACTTGGGTGTTCATAGTAATGCAACTTTGGTCGTGATGAGATATGGCGTACTTTATGTACTCGTAGTGGCCACTAGAACCGTGGCCAGTACTTGCGGGAGCAGGTCGAAAATTCTCACCTTTTGTATCTCACGTACTTATGAATTATATGCTATATGTATTTTATTATTATTTTATTTTATTATATTATATAATTAGATTATTGTTATTAGTAGTTATATGTATGTGTATGCTATTATTGTTTGTGTTTTTTTCTACTTTCTTCTTAAATTTATTAAATACTTTATTTCAATTTGAATACTATAAAAATTTCTTCATAAATTTAACCATAAAAACAATTTGTTTAATACATACACCATACTATCTTATCACATGGTTGTAATAACGTTCGCTCAACGCATGCCTCAGTTTTAATTTTAAACTCAATTTTAAACTATATTTCTTTTATAGTTATTATTTCGTTTAGTTAATTTTTAAATACTTTTTCTTACAATTTCATAAATAATTATCAATATATATTTATTTTTCTATGAAAACACAGAGGTAACACTTTTCGCTATTTTATTACTGTAATTGTACGTAACCACACGTCTTTTGCCATAGCTATTCTTTAATATTTTTGTCACATTTACAACCTGAAGTAATCCTACTTTCTAGATAGCAAAAGCTGTTGACTTGTTTCATTTGTTTACCGTTAATGGCAATGGAACAGATTGGAATGGTTTTTATCTTTCTGACAGCCATGTATTCTGTTCTGCTGTTAATTTTTAAGCCTTTTTCACCTCCATAAATCAGTTTAGAATTTGGAAATGATTATTTTCCAGCTTCACCACTGATTCAGGCAGATTTTCTATCTCTCTCATGATACTCTCGTTTTAAAGATTGTACAAATCTAGAGAAAATACATATCCTTGTCTAAGACCTTCCGTGATTGGAACAAAACTAGTCATTTTGTGCCCAACATTTACTGTCCTTTTTGATCACAATACAATTTTTTTAAAAGTCTAAACCTTTCAATATTTCCATAAGTTGTACATGATTCGCGCTATCGAGTGTTTTAATGTAATCAATGAAGCATAAATAAAAGTGTTTTTTAATTTCAATCGCTCGTTCACTAATCATTCAGGTAATAAAGATTACGTTTCTTGTGCGATGATTCTAGACAAAATGACAGCAACAATGATTATAATTATTATTACTTTGTTACGTGTCTACACAGCTTCATTATTATCAATATAATCGTCAAAATTTACTAAGAATAACGGCAACTAATGATGACGCACAGTAACAAAAACTTCAAACTTTCATAAAAATGAGACACAATAAAACTTTTTTTCAGCGCAGATAATGTAGTAAACAAATAATGCATAAAATGTAGAAAAGAATTATGTTAAAAACTTGAGAACGATAAATTTTTTCGCCTATTTCATCTAACATGCCATGAAGCATTTTTAAAACTTGACCTCTTTTCAAAAAATGTTTAGCCAGATAAACATAACATCAATGGAGGACTTGGAGTCGTTCCATGAATTAATCCTTGGTGTTCCCTTACTTCTACGTGTGTGGGTTGCATTTACAAGAAATGATTTTGTTGGTGAGAGTCAACCAAAGTTTCAATTCGAAAGTTTGTGTTCTTAAAAATTTGAAAAAAATAATGAATTCCAATTTTATTACTGTACAAATTTTAATATTGTTGTTATATTATAAAATATTACTGGATGAATGGATGACCATTAAAAAATCGATGATGGACAAAAGGAACAAAATGATTTTCTTTTTTTACATAGCCACTCTCTCTGAGATTTTGTTGTGCGGTTAAAGTGTGAATTAATTAAAATTAATGGGTATATTTTATTTGTGACTGAAAGCGAGAAATTTGGTTTGAACAATAGTCCACTTATGTTAAGTAATTTAAATTGGAAAAATATAATTACAGCATTTATCTCTCTTGAATTAAACCTTCCAATTATTTAGGGAATTATGCAAGATAAAAATATTAAAAAAAAATTTGTGTAACGTAACATTGGAATATAGCTGTTTTTTGAATTAATGCAAATTTGTAGTTATTGTTGCTATACTGTCAAGAGCTCTTTATTTTCATATGTGGTGTTATTTTGCGCTTGTTCCAATCCGACCGAGAAATTAATCACTTTTCGCTTCCATTTAATTTAATTTATTTTCATTCATTTTTATTTAAATTGTCTGAGTTGATTTGACGAAATGAAATAATTGTAAAGAATTGAAAATGTGTTGTCGATTGGAAAAATGAACGAATTAATGGCAAAATAATAATGATAAGAACAACAATGAAAATAATAATAATAATTTCGTTAGTAATAATGAACACCAATCAGAAGATATGGCTCTGCTGGCAGACACATCCCATCCCATGATACGACCGCAATTTGAAAAGGCAATAGATGAGGCTCGCAAAAGCATACAGGCTCGAAGAATTTTTTGTGTTCAGGTTGGTTCATTTATTTTTTGGTTTAATTTACTTCATAAGTATTATAAAAATAAATAGTCCCATAATCAAATCTTTAAATTACTTAATATTATACTTAAGTACTTTATATATGCAAGTCTTGTTGAATATTCTTGTCTATTTACCGTTTATTAATATCTTAATCCGTGACTCAAGTCGACGCATTTGTTTCATTTCGTATTTATTAAAACTTGATGTCATTGTTAAGCTGGCTTAAAACGTTGTTTTGGCACATTCTGCCATCTTCAGTCAGAGCCTTGAAAATGAAACAAATAAATTAAAATGAATTTTAAAAAGTTACATTGAATTTAACGTTTAATTATAATTTTTTTTCTTTAGTTTATTACATTATTTATTTTATTCCAATTTCGTTATTTTATTTTACGTTAGTTACATTAATATTTCCTTGATTTTGAATTTTGTAGTTTCAAAGAATGTGCCGAAGATATTTAATCATTCCAAAGCTAACTTATATATGTTCAATTTTTTAAATAGTGATAAACATGCTAACAAAAAAAATTATACAAATACATTAACTCTGACCATATAAAAAAGCAAATTGTCAAAAATTGGTAACAAAAATCATGTTTATAAACAATAAAAGAAGCAACTTACAAAAATATTTTAATTCTATTTATTTTATAAGTGAAATGTAAAAAAATGGGAATAAATTTCATTATATGTCAACTTTTCGGCTTTTGTTGAAGCGAAACTCGTTGATTATCTCTTCAAAATTTAAACTATTTATTTCATTTTCTTCAATACTCAGCAGTGCCAAGTTGCACAATCGCTGCTGTTGACTCATCGTAGCTCATAAGTATTTAAGTAAAATAGTATTAATTTTAACTTAATAAATGATTGCTCACAAGTAGCAATGGATACACTTATAGTTGGTAAAATTGAAGAGCAACTCGAA